CAAGTGCCACATGTCTGAGCTTTGGAACATGATGCACTTGATGGAACTTATATTGAGGGCGGAAACTGGTTTTATGTATTTTGTGTCAGTGACATTGTGACATTGTGATCTTAACTGCACTGCCTTTGAAAACACGTACTAGCTCTTGGCATGCATACGGGAGATTATGTACTAAGTCGATTCTTCTCATGTTTATGATGATGAGCCATCTTAAAAACGTCAGTTAGGTCAGAGTTTTCGTACCTTGTTGAGGTATCCACCAAAAACTAAAAAGATCAAAATTCATACGTTGAAATACAGCATTCATTTAGTTCAATAATATAGTATTATCTCTCTTAATTGGGGGTTGAATATAATAATATAATCTGCTGTGAACAGGGAGCAAATCACACACAACTAAACGTTTGAAGATCTTGATTTCTGATACTATGTTACCTATCCTGGGTGTTGCTTTGTTTAAATTATTTTCCTGTTATGGGCATTTTAGTATATGGCTTACCTGTTGACTATTGTAAGTTGTTTTTGTTACACCTGTTTTCTACCAAAATGTAGCCAATGACTGTGTTGTGTGTGACACTCACACTAATCACATTGTTCACGGTGCGATGGCTCAATCGAAACTACCCGGAATGATCACATAAGTCACATAATATAACACACCATACTTGTGTACTTACAGGGGACAAACCTGCTAAATTTGATACTGATATTTATAATCGACTCGTTAAGCTACTTCAACGGTATTGAACGTGTTTTAGAGTATGCCAGCATGGTTCCGGAAAAACTAGAAGGTAGAAAATACTCATTTTCAGCTAATATTTGTATACATGATTTACAACACAACCAATGTATATCATACGATTGACCATCAAATTATCTGTTCCATATGTGACCATGTGATCAGGTACTGTTTCTCCGCCTAATAATTGGCCAAGCAGAGGATCCATCAACATACACAATATTACGGCTCGTTATGCTATTAGTTTGGACCCAGTGTTATCAAATGTGAGCGTCAAGATCATACCTGGAGAAAAGGTACTTTTTAACAACAATAGAAATAACATTTTCTATCATAGTGGAAATTTACGCATGGGAAAAATAAATCTTTACTAGTATATGTGCGGCTGAACTATTTGTAAATATAATTGCTTAATAGAACGTAGAGACTTGGATTCTGAATTATAATATTCGACCTAAAGGACGGGTATGTAGTTTCGACTACATGTATGTCGTTCTATGTACCTGTAGTTGCAGGTTTCAGTTAATTTGAGTAATGTTTAAAGATGGATGCACCCTACATTGTAGATATAACGTTTCTATCCAGGTAATATTTTAACGACCACAGATTATGTTACAAAACATGTGAACATATTGATGTAAGTTACAGATATAGTTTTCCTTCACATTCTAAAGGTTGGAATATGTGGTCGAACTGGCAGTGGAAAATCGTCCCTCACTCTCACATTATTGAGGATGATAGATATCATTGAAGGTAAACTTTACACATGATATTTGTATCTTTTAAAAATGCCTGGAGTTTTGAAACAAACAGAATGTCTAATTGATAATAATAAATTTGTATTACAATATCAGGTCGTATCGTAATTGATGGTATCGATATATCAACTATTCCTGTATTGACACTTCGTCGTAGAATGTCTATTATCCCACAGGATCCTGTTCTCTTTTGTGGCACTCTACGGTAAGATACAAATAATGCCAAATATTCAACTAATGCTATTTATTCCAATACTATGTTTCACTATTTCCGTACAATTCATTAATTTATTTTAATGAGTATGGTAACCTTAAAGTTGCTGTGGCTATAAGAACCCTTGTTTTGAACTTATGATCACATGATCTCTCACGTAAAATAGAGCACATACTTCATGTTATTTTTCGCTGTAACATCCATAAATGTTTTTACAATAAAACTCAGCCAACTGTTATTCAGCTCAGGTCTTTAATTTTATGCATAAAGACATACATATGAAAATTGCAAATAGTGCGTAAATATATGTTGCCTTTTGAATATCTCATGCAGTATTCAATCAGAGGTGATTACGTCAACAGAGGCAATAACAGCAGCAGACTAAGACAATACTTTCATAACTTGTGCTGAATGTACTATTGTAACAGTAGAGGGCGCTGCCACACACTGATGAATCGCCACGCCCATAGAACTATTCAGGAGAGTCGTGTTTGAACTTAAAATGTGTTAAGAAAAAAAAAACATATTATAAAAACATACGTTACGGTGAGTAATAAATGAATATATTTGGTAAGGTAATAATATTGTTATATATTATAGGTTTAATTTAGATCCTGAAGAAAAGTACGGGGACCAGGATTTATGGAATGCTCTTGAAATCGCACAATTGAAAGACTGTGTGCTTGAAATGAATGAACAATTAGGTTAGATTTTTTGAAATATTCTTCCAGAAACGATACGAGTTTTCAAGTTATGTATCGGTATTTGTATTCAATATAGCGCCATGTATTTGGTGAAATCATTTATACTGTTTCAAAATGATTTCAGATACAATTGTTACTGACGGAGGAGACAACATAAGCACTGGACAGAGACAATTAATTTGCCTGGCGAGGGCTTTCCTGCGAAAAAGCCGAATCCTTATCATGGACGAAGCCACTGCATCTGTTGATTTGGAAACAGTGAGTTTTGACTCTACATACTACGTCCAGGCGAATGTGATTATGGTCGTCCATAAAATACTATTTGTCGGCAAATGTCATGGCAAATGTATATAATATGACTTCATGTTTTCGTTTTTCATAAATTATACTCTATAATAACAACAACAACAATATCAAATAGTACTATTTATTCGTCGACCATTACAGTTTATTGCCAGCGCGTATTTCATATAGGTCACTGATTTGAATTGGCGGCCGAAACATGTGTGGATAAATATAATATGTAACAAAATTAATTTTGTCCTGAGTAACTTTCCGTATGTAAATTATACAGAAATTAACCATCAATGTATGTTATGAAAATATGTTGTTTTTGTGACGATTTGTTTATTCATAACAGGACGCTACACTACAGGCCGTTATTGCCACAGCATTTTCGGATAAAACAGTTCTAACAATAGCGGTAAGAGACAAGTGAATAATATAACATACACACAGCTCAAGTGGGAGTTGTTGGAGTTGTTTATAAAATGCACTGAACCCTTCCAAATGAGTTAATATAAAGACAAAACGTAATTGGATGCGCATCAATTTACTTTTTGATACTTATTGACTGTCATTTTTGTTTCACAAATTCTAAAATAACATTTCAACGTATCATCAACCACGATTCGATTCAAGGTGGCCGAACAAAATGTAAACCAGCCATCTACTGTTTCTTGGACATGAAGGCAATATCCACTATATCCAAGGTTATATGTAATTGACTGTTGCTTATATTATTGTTATTTCAACAAGACATGATATCGGAGTGTCAATGAAACTTGTTTTATTGGCAGAAGCTAGGCCATTAAGAATGACTTGTTCATATTTATTTTGCATCCACAATGTGATTGGTTGTTTAGTAATATAATGCTATTTTTTCAGCATCGCATATCTACCATACTTGACTCTGATACTGTACTGGTACTAAGTGAAGGCAGAGTTGTGGAATATGGTACACCACAAAAATTGCTTAGGAAGGATGGTGGTATGTTTGCATCATTAGTGAACAATACAGAGTGAAGACGGACATTTGTGATACTGGAAACATCAAATAAACTACACTACTTGAAGTCATTATCGTTATACCGACATACACACGATATATTACTATTATTGATTCCACCAATAAAACTAAATCTCAATTGCATTTAAA